TGGAATCCGGGTTTACTACTCGTCGATCACATCCACTTCCAATACAACGGCATTTTAAGCGCTTTACTCCTTCTCTCCATCGCTAGGATTATACAGAAGCGAGAGATTGAATCCGCCTTTTGGTTCGCAGTACTACTCAATATGAAACACATCTATGTCTACATTAGTCCCGCATTTTTTGTCTATTTATTGCGAAACTATTGTTTTGATCGACACTTGAATTTTAAAGCCAAGAATTTTGCCAAATTAGCGTTAATAGTATCGCTTGTATTCGCCGCTAGTTTTGGCCCATTTCTGGTTTTGGGACAATTCTGGCAATTAATGTCCCGATTGTTTCCATTCAAACGAGGTTTAAGTCACGCCTATTGGGCGCCCAATTTCTGGGCACTTTATAACACTGTCGACAAAGTGTCGGGTGTTTTGCTAAAAGTCAAACCAAATGCAAACTCCTCGATGACATCGGGACTCGTCCAACAGTATGAGCATCAGGTGCTCATCACTATTACACCGATCATGACGTTTGCTTTAGTCGTTATTTCAATTTTGGTATAAATGACACCACTTTTACATGTTTACAGTTATTTGAATTGTCTATTAATGATGTTTCTATATGTTTAGCCATCAATGCGTTTGTTATGGCGAAGAAGTCACCAGAACTACTCTCAGATACTGTTCCTGCGATCGGTAGTGATGTGTGCATTCAGTTCCTACATGTTTGGTTGGCACGTTCACGAGAAGGCAATCTTATTGATTACAATCCCATTAACACCGTTAGCAATGGTCAGCAAATGGGACGCAAAGATGTTTAATATGGTGTCAGTTATCGGCAATTATTCATTGTTCCCATTGCTCTATAAAGAAGCCGAAACTGTGACCAAAATTTTATTGCTTGTTATTTATTCTGTTTATTCGTTTAAAAGTCTTGAAATTCATCACAAACTGACGGCCAATAAGTTTGAAAACAAGTTTTTGTTGAGCTTTCCTTTAATGAACTTTTTTGAAACTATTTATTTAATGGGTTTAATAGTTATTCAATCGATTTACTTGTTTTGTCCGTTGTTTACTATTTGCCAAAGATATCCATTCGTGCCTTTAATGACAACATCTTTTTATTGCAGTTTAGGTTTAATTTATTGTTTCATTGATTTTATTAGAAATTTACATATTATTAGAGCATAAAAATGTGCATTAAATTAGATATTTATTGATTTAAATTGGTTATAAAATGACAAATTCTATGAACGATTTTTTAAATAATAAATTTTAATTATAATTAAACTAAAATTGTATTTTATTCCACTTGATAGTTAGTTTTTGACGTGAATTTGATTATTAGATCATAGCTTACTATCATTAAGATCTGGAATAAATTATTAAATTATCAATAACTGTGTTTGTAATTTATTTATTCGGTCTCACCATAAATAGTTGGAGTGCAGCGATGGGCACCGTTGCCATGCGGTAACCCCACGCGCCCATCAATATGCCTCCCAATGCCGGCCCAATAGCAGAGCTATCAATATGTGAACAATTAATACAGAATATTCTGTGCAAATGGTTTGTAAATAAAAAATGTTTTATTACCCCAATGCGAAAGACGATGAATATATGCCCGAAATGGCTGCATATGTAGACACGTTATCTGGATATCCGCTTCTCCTTTAAATTTAAAGTAATTAAATATTTAATAATATTTAAATGTGAATAAATCTATTTAATTCATACAAAGTTTCCCGCAATCCCTGTACGAAACTGCCGACAAACTGCCCGCCCATTCCCAGGCCAAGGAATACTTGTCCCAATATTGCGAGCCATAGTTGTCTATGGGTTTAATTTAGATTATAATTATTACAAATTTAACTTTTTAATACAATTTAAGTTAAAACTAACGAATCCATTGGGAAGAAAGGCATTGGACCGACAATTATAAATGCAATGAACGATGAAATGCATCCAATAATGCATAGCGGATGACAATTGTACATCTTTTCGGCAAAATAAGCCCAAACTTGGTTGAAACCGGCGTAAAGAGCGCCCGATATTACAAATATACCACCCTTTGTGGTGGGAGACAGAACCGCGATCTGTAAATGCATTACATTTAGTATAAATTATTAATATTTGCATCAATTATTCTAACGTCATGTAAATGCAATTCAAGAGTTGCTTCATTGAAACCAATTAATAAGAAACAATTGACACTAATTAACACGTTTAACGTAATACTAATATGACTTAAGATACTAAAAACGCTCGTTTTGGCTAAAGTTTGTCCATGTTCGTCTTTTAGGTCCATCTCTTTATATACAATACAAATAATAATAAGTGAAAAGATTAGAAACATTGATCAAAATTATACGTTTATCGGTATCTTTTTCGTCCAGTAATAGACGCATAAGAAGTGATGCCAACAGAAGAAGTGCTCCCATAATAAAGAATGGGAGACAAAAGCCGGCGCCTAATTGTTCGTCGCCTACCTATGAGTTATAATTACAATTAATTGTAATTAATTTGTCAAACATTTTAATCATAAAAATACAAACTTGATTAAGAAGACCCCCGATTGCCGGTCCAAAGATCATACCCACGCCGTAACACATTTCAGTGGTCGCCTATTATATGATATTTATGTTGGAAATTATTCAATTTGATATTTATTACAATTTTCAGTTCTACTATTTATAATCTTATAAATTAATACTAACAAAAAGTTTTGAGATATGGTTTGGAAATTGAAGGCAAACTATTGTCCAGCAGCTGACGAAAAAAGAGGCCACACCTAAGCCTTCAATGGTTCGGGTGGTCATACCTAT